TGTATATGTGCGTGTGTGTGTGTATATATGTATGTATGTATGTGTGTGTATGTATATATATATATATATATATATATATAGATAGATAGATAGATAGATAGATAGATAGATAGAGTTGAACTCTGTTGAATAGGTTGTACAGAACCACACTGATAATGACATTTTACGTTTGTAGTTATATTGCCTGCAATATTCAGTTTTTTCATTATTCACTTACCAACTACAGGATTCAAGTACCTCTGTGGTGAGGAAGAGAGACGTGGCTCTGAGATGCCTCGTTGAATACATGGGAGAGAGTGGGCAAAAGCTGATCTCTGACTACTATGTAAGTATTGTTTAAAAAGCATAGTTTGACTTTTTTGGGAAAGGCACACATTCCTCAGATATCAATCTTATGTCTGACTGAATTATAGAACAAAGATGGAGCTCTGTCAAACATTCGAAACACGCCTACAAACACCTAAATGAATATGCAGGAACCAGGGTCCCAAGTTAACCTTTTGGACTTTTAGTTGCTTGTAGACTTAATAATGTCATTTTTAACTGCAGTTTCACAAAAGTAAAATCCTTGTTTTACATGATGCAAAAATCATAATCATCTGACAATATAACTGTCAGAATGGCTTTTTCAGTTTTGCCACTTATTGTTCTGTTTTTTCTCATACAGGGAAAAACAGAGAGCAGTGTCTATGAAGACTTGAAAATGCGCAATATGCAGATATATGTCTGCCGTGTTCCAGATGTGGTGGGCATCATCATTGAGGGCATCCCTGTGCTTACTCGTCTTGGAAACCACGCCAGGGCTATGAACTTGCAGTATCCACCACAACTCAGCAAACATTTCAGGTGTTTCAAAGACATTTTGTGGGACTTGACACACTGCGTCCAAAGTCTTCCTCCTGATTCATGACACAAAAACTTCTGAGTTAGTTAATTAGTTGCCACTCAAAGGTTCTGTTTCTTTGCTTCATCACTTTTGTTCAATGGACAGTTTGACTTGGAACAATGTGGTAGTCACGCACTGACTTCTTCAGTTTCTGGATAAGTCTGCAGCAAATATGGGCATTTGATTTGCTTTTGTATATATGGGGCAAAGTTTGTTTTGTTATGTCAAATGCTGAGATCAGAGGCACTTTATTTTTTTTATTTCAATGTTGTAGTACATATGAAAATGTACTGTACTGTGCACTTAAGCTAGTCTGTTTATGTAAATTGCTCAGGTCAAGATTCACTGTATTTTATTGTTAGTGTACAGATTGCATTTAAAGGTCTTCTATGCTGCGCTTAAAGATGAGGTTAGAAGTTTCTGTAATTTTTAATGTTAATGTTTACAACATTAACAATAAAATTGATTATAAAAACTTTTGATTATAAATTGATAACAAGTGCACCCAGTTGTTTGTGTATGGCAAATGTTAGAGTAATAAACATTTGACAAATACCTCTCTTTCCTTATTAAAGTTGAATTAAAAAATAATTTGTATAAACTAAGAGTAATAGAGAAAATGATTTAATTAAAATCAAATAAATTTATTTTTTTATTTTAAATGTTACTTATTTTAATTAAGTATTATTTGATCAATATACTGATCTTTAACACTTTGGTTAAACTCAAAAATTTTGCTTTATATTGTAGACTCTACTTAATTTTTTTGCAAACGGTAAAATAATAATATTGATTTTTACCAAATCAAAATAACAAGAAGTTCACTAAACTTACAAAAAGTAATTGGAAAATGTTGCCTTAATTTTTTTAAGTTTTATTTAAGTAACACTTTTTACAGTGTAGTTAACATATGTTTTAATGGGTGGGAGGGGGCGGGGGGGGCGGGGGGGGGGTGCTATTTACACAGGGTTATGTAGTTTTGTATTTAGTTTTCCCTTCATTGTAAAACTGTGTTATCTTTAACTATTATTTAAATTTGTTTGATTATCTGAAAACTAAGACAAACACGCAAAAAAATAGGAAATCAGTAAGAGGGTAAACACTTTCCACATTACTGTAATTCCATGAATAAACTGTAAAGCTAAACATTTTAAGTTGTCACAAACAAACTGTGGTCAATATGCATATCTTTTTTAAGAATATTGAGCAACAAACTGTGTTAAAACTAGAGATGCAACCGATTTCCATCATCATAACAGTATAGAACATATGCCAACAGATCGTTATTAGTCACTTCTTTCAAGAGGAAGAGACTAAACTGATTTTGATGCTGAGATGTGTGATCAATAGGAATGTAACAATATTGTAAATGCCGTCATACTGCAATAGCAATTTCTTTCAATATTACCGTGGTTGTGACTCAATAAAATCATAGGTCTTT